TTGCATGTTTCTAGGGATATATCCATTTCTTCTAGATTATATAACTTGTTGGCATTTAATTGTTTATAGTAGTTCTTTTTAGGATTCTTAGTATTTCTCAGTTTTCTGTAGTAATGTCTTTCATTTCTGTCTTTTTTTTTTTTCCTTAGTCTAGCTAATGGTTTGTCTGTTTTGTTTTGGTTTTTTTTTTTTTAAACAGCTCTTAGTTTCTGTGATCTTTTTAATTGTCTTTCTACTCTCCATTTCATTTATTTCTGCTCTGATCTTTATTTCCTTCCTACTACTAACTTTGGACTTAGTTTGTTCTTCTTCTAGTTCCTTGAGGTGTATAGTTAGGTTGTTTATTTGAGATCTTTCTTTTTTCTTAATGTAAGCATTTAAACTTACCTCGTAGAACTGCTTTTTGCTGCATCCCGTAAGTTCTGGTATGTTGTGTTTCCATTTTCATTTTTGTCAGATAGTTTTTAATTTATTATTTTAGTTTTCTTTTGATTCCTTTTTTGACCCTTGGTTGTTCACAAGCATGTTGTTTAATCTCCACATATTTGTAAATTTTCCAGTTTTCCTCTTGTAACTGATTTCTAATTTCATAACACTGTAGCTGGAAAATATGCTTGGTATGATTTCAGTCTTTTTTAATTTATTAAGACTTGTTTTATGGCCTAACATATGATCTATCCAGAAGAATGTTCCATGTACACTTGAGAAAAATATATATTCTGCTGCTGTTGGATGAGATGTTCTGTATATGTCTGTTAATTCCATCTGGTCTAATGTGTTGTTTAAGTCCAATATATACTTGTTGATTTTCTGTCTAGATGCTCTATCCGTTGTTTAAAGTGGGTTATTGAAATCCACTACTGTTATTGTATTTCTGTCTATTTCTCACTTCAAAATGTTAATATTTGCTTTATATTTAGGTGCTCCAATGTTGAATGCATAAATATGTTAAATTGTTACATCTTCTTGATGAATTGACCTCTTTATCATGATATAATGACCTTCTTTGTCCTTGATATCATTTTTGGCTTAATGTCTATATTGTCTTAGGTAAAATAACTACCCCTGCTCTCTTTTGGTTCCTGTTTGCATGGAATATCTTTGTCCATTCCTTCACTTTCAGTCTCTCTGTGTCCTTAAAGCTGAAGTGAGCCTCTCATAGAAAGCACATAGTTGGGTCTTGTTTTTTTTATCCATTCAGCTACTCTGTGTCTTTTGAATGAAGGACTTAATCTATGTACATTTAAAGTAATTATTAATAGGTGTGGACTAGCTATTGCCATTTTGTTAATTATTTTCTAGCTGTTTTGTAGTTCCTTTGTTCCTTCCTCTCTTGCATTATTCCTTTGTGCTTTGATTATATGTATTTGTGCTGTGATTTATAAATATTTTGTATATTTACTATAAGTTTATGCTTTATGGTTACCATGAGGCTTACATAAAACATCTTGTAGTTATAACAGTCTATTTTAAGCTGATAACTTCAAATGCATACAAAAACTCTACATTTTTACAGTTCTCCCGCCATAGTTTATGTGTTGGTCACAATTTTATATTGTGTATCTATTAACAAGTTATTGTAGTTATAGTTATTTTTAATACTTTTGTCTTTTAACCTATACTAGAGTTTTAAGTGATTTCACTCATCACCATTACAATATTAAGAGTATTCTGAATTTAACTATATATTTACATTTATCAGTGAGTTTATACTTTCATATGTTTTCATATTACTTATTAGTGTTCTTCATTTCAACTTGAAGAAGGCCTTTAATATTTCTGGTAAGGCTGGTCTAGTGGTGATGAGCTGTTTCAGCTTTTGTTTGTCTGGAAAACTCTTTATCTCTCCTTCAATTCTGAAGAACATTTTTTCTGGAATTGAGTATACTTAATTGGCAGGGTTTTTTCTTTCAGCATTTGAATATAACATCTCACTTCTCTGGCCTACAAGATTTCTGCCCAGAAATTCCACTGATAGTCTTATACTATCAGTGTATAAGGAGTGCACTTATACCTAACAGGTTGCTTTTCTCTTGCTGTTTTTAGGATTCTTTGTCTTTAATTTTTGACAATTTAATTATAAAGTGTCTTGGTGTGTGTCTCTTTAGATTCATCTTATTTGGTACTTTTTGGGCTTCCTGGACCTGGATATCTGTTTCTTTCTCCAGGTTAGGGAAATTTTCAGCCAGTATTTCTTTTCTTTTTTTTATTTCTAGATTCACACCATTGTGGTCAGAAAAGAAATGCTTGACATGATTTCAACCTTAAATTTATTGAGACTTATTCTGTGGCCTAGCATGTGATCTGTGCTGGGGAATGTTCCCTGTGCACATGTTTCATGATGCAAGATTCTGGAAAGGGAGTGGTCAAAACCTTAAAAACGTGGTTATAATGAGACCAGAGCAAAATAAGAAGTAATTGGCTTTATAGAATAGGGTATACCAATGTTTCTGTATATTGTCATAGGTGTAGAGGTAGAGAAATATGAGACAGAGATGGAGATAAAGTACTTTTCCCTTTGAAACATCTATAAAATTTTATAAAAGAGCAAGTTGGGAAAACTCTTTTGCTAAGTTGTTTAATAAGTAAGAAAAGTGTTGTTAAGGAAGAGGGACTGGTTATGACAGAATGAAGGCATTGTTTAAAAGGCCAAGTTTATATGGATTTGCCTCTTTAATCAGCAGAATTTTGTGGTTAAAAACAGTTACAGATAAAGTACTACAGGATGGAGCAGATTTAGAACTGGCACTGGGAAAAGACTGTATCACTGAAGCCCAAGGGATTACAGATGCTAAGCATCTTTCCAGCTGCCTGACCATGTGAAGCTGAACTGTCCAGTATTTCTTTGAATAAGTTTCCTGCCCCTTTCTCTTCTCTCTTTCTGGGACTCCTATAATATGTTTATTCTCCCTTTGATGGTGTCCCATTAGTCCCTTAGACTATCTTCACTTTTTCTCATTATTTTTTCTTTTTGTTCCTCCAATTGAATTCCACTGCTCTGTCTATAAGTTGACTGATCTTTTTTTCTGCTTGATCTGGTCTGCTGTTGAACCCCTCTGTTGAATTTTTCAGTTCACTTATTGTATTCTTCAGCTGTATGATTTATGTTTGGTACTTTTGTATATTTTCTATCTCTATTGAAATTCTCACTTTGTTCATGCATTGCTCTCCTGACGTCAGTGAGCATCTTTATGACCATTATTTTGAAAACTCTATTGGGTAAATCACTTATCTCCATTTCATTAAGACTGGTTTCTGGAGGTTTATCTTGCTCTTTACGTTGGAATATATTTCTCTGTTTCTTCATTTTTCTTGACTCTCTGGGTTGGTTTCTGTGCATTAGATAAAACAGTCACCTCCGCTAGTCTTGACAGAGTGCTCACAGGCAGAAGATGAATCTCATCAGCCTGGCCCAGGCTCCTGGTTGTCTCTCAGAGCTTTGTCACTGCCTTTGTCCTTAGTAGCTCCCCGTATTTGAGTGTGTGCCAAGACCTATCGCTTGGGGTTGGAGATGCAGAGCCTGAGTAAAGGAATCCCTCTCTGCTGGTTCATGCTGTGTCCTGAGGGCTGACTCTGGGGCAGGTGCTTTCTGTGCGGCTCTTCGCTAATCCATGCAGCAGTCTCACCTGAACCTCTTTCCAGCTCCCAGAACCCTCTTAAGCCAGCCTGCAGGGCTGTAAATGAGGCAGGCTTCAGGGTCAGGCTAAGGGAAGACCCTCATGCTGGAGGCAAGGGGGCTGGACAGGGGAGACACTTGGGGAAAGCAAGCAGAAAAATCCTCGGCGCAGAAGTGGCTCTCTCTCCAGGAGCCGGGATTGGGAAGGAGCTGGTTTAGAGGCCGCGGCCTTCCCTATAGGGGCCTGGATCTCAGAAGCAGCCCTGTGCTTCTTCCAGCAAATTCTGGTTCCTGGTCAAAAGACAGTTGTCAAAAGGATCTCGGTCAGCACCTTGATACACCCTGATTATTAGAAGCTGTACCCTCAGGCAGCAGCTGTGAAAATACGTAGTTAAGCCCCTTCCAGGGAGAAACTAGATGTGTGTTTTTCCTGCTCCCTTTCACTGAGCCCAGGTGTATAACCACGGGGCTGGGTGGCCAGAGCGATTGGGGGGGGGGGCGGGGGGGGGTTTCTCCTGTGCCTGTTTAAAGCCTGCTTGTTTGCCGTAGTCCTATGGGACTTGGGAATGTAAGTTCCACTGGCTATCAGAGCCAAGCAGTCCAGGGGCCCATCCCACTCAGGTGGCAGTCACAAAAGTTAGCATGCAAAATGTGTGTACAAGCTCCTTTCAGACAGATGCTAGCAATCTGGTTTTACCTTTGGAGTGAGCCAGAGGGAGAAGGCAGAGGAAGTACCCAAAGTCTCCCTCATGCTCTGGAGAGGATCTCAGCCAGCTCCTAGATGCGTGCTAAATTAGAATCTGGACCCTCGGGCAGCAGTTTGTAAAGTATGAAGTCAAATCTCTTTCAGGGAAAGACTGGGAAATGGGCTTTTTGCCTGCTTTCTCAGGACTGAGTCCTGAGAGCATAGGAGTGAGTATAGGAGCATAGCCACAGTGAGTACTCTCATCCAATAAGACCTGTTTCTTTCTTTGCTATAGTCTTGTGTGTCCCGGGGATACAAGCCTTGTTGGTGTTTTGGGGGCCCATCCCTTGCTTGAATGGTTGTCTTTAAAGTTGGGGTGCTAGATGTGCAGTCCAAATCCTTCACTCCTTAGGAAGAAGCTGGGAGTTGGGAGTTCCCTCCCTATTACAGGGCACTGAGCCAGGGGTGGCGTTTATGGCAAGCCTGTGTCTCAGCCTTTCCTGTCAATATTTTTGATGTATCAATGTAGGTATTTTCTCATTCACTTGATGTGGAAAAGTCACACAGCTAGTTTCTGGATTTCTTTCAGAGGGAAGTGCTCCATGTGTAGCTATACATTCAGTGCATCCAAGGGAGGAGGGAAGTTCAGGAACTTCCTATGTCACTATTTTGGCATTTTTACCCATTTATTTTTTCCAGAAAGAACTAGAGAAGCAGAAGAGAATTAAGAGGAACCAGCAGCTGGAAGCAATAGCCAGAGAACATTATGAAAGCGTATTGCTAAGAAAAAAAGGTCTGGAGCCTTGGAAGAGACTGAGAATGCAAAGCAAGCAAAACCTCCAGGTATAGTGTCACACTCTTATCCCCCCAAAATCAGCAAGTGGACTTTAAAATAGGATAAACACCCAATGAGGCTTTGGAGGTCGTTTGGAGATTTAAAATTCAGAAAGATAAATGAATTGAGTGTGGATATTTACTTGTTTTAGATAAAAGTTTGAATTTGGTCTTCCAAGGCAGAGAAAGACTTCTGTAACTGAATAGGTTGGAAAAAACTAGAGTACATTTTTTATTAGAGACCTCCAAGGTAGGATGAATAGAGGCCTCTCTCAATTTTAGCAGTGTATAGCTATGTAATAAAGGAAAAATAATTACCGTAAGGTATACTAATCAGATTTCTGCTGCAATAAAGCTGCCTAACAAACAGCCCTGAAATATCGTGGCTTACAACTCAGGTATTTATTTCCCACTCACATGTTTGTGGGCCAGTTTAGATCAAATTCAGATCTCTCCACAGCCTCTTTCTGGCTCCAGCTGTTATTCAGGGCAAGCTTTCACCTGGCAAATGTCTGAGATACAAAGGCCAAACCCAATTATGTAAACTTATATGAAACCTTGGCTTGTATCATGTCCACAGCAAGTCATAAGGCCAAACTCAAGGTCACTGAGAGGAGAAAGAGGCTCCATTTACTCCATTGGGAGATAGGATGAAATCACATGCAAGTGTGTGGGTGTCTGATCCTATTATCCGGAATAGTCATCCATTCTACCACACAGGGATAAATGAAATCAAATACCACTGAAATTCAAATTTATCCAGTGCACAGAACACGGCATTTAACTAAATGATCGAAAGCTCAAAATAGATAAAATGTTATCTTTAGAATTCTATTTCATAATAAGGTCAGTAACGCCTACCAGTTATGACCACTTTTATTTATACATCTGGTCAAGTTAATACTGAAAAGTAAGGCTAATCTGCTTGGTTATGAAAACCAGGATTAAAGATGAACAATAGGGGCTTCCCTGGTGGCACAGGGGTTGAGAGTCCGCCTGCCGATGCAGGGGACACCGGTTCGTGCCCCGGTCGGGTGGATCCCACATGCCGCGGAGCGGCTGGACCCGTGAGCCATGGCCGCTGAGCCTGCGCGTCCGGAGCCTGTGCTCCGCAACAGGAGAGGCCACAACAGTGAGAGGCCTGCGTACCGCAAAAAAAAAAAGAATATAAAAAGAAACAGGAGTTTGAGTTCAAAATGACAGATATAGGCCTTAAATATAGAAAAACCTAATTAAAATAAAAACAGGAGAACACAGATCTGAATCCAGCATTTCCAAATTTTCCTATTCATAAAACCATCTGGAGAGCTTATAAAAATGCAAGTTCCTGTTCCCACCTCCAGGTGTTCTCAGTAGGTCTGGGTTGTTGGCCAGGGGTCTGGGGGCGGTGTGTCAGGGAATCTGCATTTTTAAAAAGCCCAGGGACTTCCCTGGTGGTCCAGTGGTTAAGACTCTGTGCTTTCAATGCAGGGGGCGTAGGTTCGACCCCTGGTTGGGGAACTAGGATCCCACATGCCACATGGCGTGGCTGAAAATAAATAAATAAATAAACAAACAAACAAATAAGTAAATAAATAACAACAGTAGAATAAAAAACTATAATATTAAAGAAAAAAGAAAAGTAGCCCAGGAGATTCTGATCCAAGTAGTCTGAGCACCACATTTTGAGAATCACCTCTCTAGTTTGTAACAAGTGTGTTAGTTTCCTATGCTGTTATAACAAATTACCACAAACATAGTGGCTTAAAACACAAATTTATTATCTTAAATTTCTGCAGGTCAGAAGTCCAAAATCAGACTTGCTGGGCTAAAGTCAAAGTGTCAGCAAGACAGCTGCCTTCTGGAGTTTCCCAGGAGAGAAACTGTTTCCTCCTTTTCTAGCTTCTTAATGGCTGCCTGCATTCCATTGCCCATAGCCCCTTCCTCAATTCACTCTAATCTCTTACATTCATGTCACATCTCATATTGATGCTGATCCTCCTGCCTCCGTCTTACAAGAACTCTTGTGATTACATTTAGGGCTCTCTCGTATAATCCAGGATCATCTCCCCATTTTAAGATCCTTCACTTAATCACATCTGCAAAATCCCTTTTACCATGAAAGGTAACATTTACAGGTTCCAGGGATTAGTTTGTGGCCATCCCTGAGGGCCACTATTCATTCCTACCACACAAGATAATAGAATTTTAGAATATTAGTAATCCTCTCCTTCTCTTTCAATTTGTAAATAAGGGAACTGAGTCTTAGAGAGGAAAACTGACTTGCTTAAGGTCACACAGCACATTGGTTACAAAGCTAGAATGGAGCTCAGCAACCCCTTCCTCCAAAAATCCTGCCCAGTTCAGGCATGTCTTTTGTGCTGTGTAGGAATCAGAGGTATATGTAGATACCAACCACCAGCTGAAAGTTTAAAAAAAAAAATGAAGAAGTAAGAAAGTTAGAAAAAAAAAAAGAAAGAAGTAAAAGGAAAAGTTCTGGAGGACAGTAAGAGGAAGCAGTATCTTCTTCATCCATCAGAGCTGACATCCAGGAAGGGATAGAAAAAAATCAAGAAAGAAAAAGGGTCCAGTTAGACAGTTCCTGGCTTCTTTATAACGTTTTTGGTTTTTTTTCAGAAGAGTTATTTAGCATTTTCCTTTAAACTCACATGTGCTGTATTTCATTTGTTCCAATAACAGTTTTCAGAATTTTTAAGGGATCTTCTGATTATCTTTCTTTTTCTCCCTGGTTCTCTGTGTTTTTCTAGAAGATGGAGAGCAGAGAGGGTAGGAGGTTGTGTGTTTCTGGCTTCCCTTGCCTTTTGGCTCCCAGGTGTCACAGAGACCTCCTGTGGTGGTCATTTTGGCCAGTATGTGTGACTGCCAAGGGACTCACTTGGATCAGTCACATTCACAGTGCTCAGTGGTGAGACAAGACTCAGAAAAAGGTCTAATGGGGAGGACTAAGAGAGAAGGGCTTTTCCCTCTGCCTCTTAAGAGAATGTAACAGTTACTTTTAAAAAAATCTGTAAAGTCTGAGTTGTATGTTTATTTTGGTAGAATGATACTCTGAGCCCTTTAAGTTGGTAAGATATTAAATTATGCATCATGTTATTCTTCTACCAAATGGTTTGTGGTTTATTGATAATGTCTAAATTTCAGTGCTAGTGACAGCTCATTCTACAAAACTAATTGAGAGTATTGGCATTTCCTCAATTAGACAGTGGTTAAGCACATAATAAAGAGAGGTTTGTTATGCAGTTGCTGCCCAAGCTCCAGGAGAAGGAACCAAGAATGTTGCCACCCATGCACTTTAAAACTCAGTGCAAGAGACAAAATGGTTTTGGAGGTTGTTTGTTCCATTTCCTGAATAACCAGCCAGTCATTGTGGTCTTCAGGGAGTCAGCATTGAAAGGCTATGCATGATATGAATCTAAAGTCCCCATGTAATACAGTCAGTAGTCAAAGCTTTTAGGACATAGGTGAATGTCCGTAAGATTATTCTCTCTAGTAACTGCCTGTATGTGGTTTACAGCATCACTTGCCAAGGTGATGTGTGTGTATTTCCTTAAATGATTTAACATATAAAGAATAATTTCCTTTTCTCATTTTAAAAAACTGTCCAGGTGGCCAAAGGACATCACTCTTTGGCCCTACAGAGGAAATGCCTGCTGACCTGGTTCCAGTGGAGTCAGGAAAGCCTGGCTAGGAAGATGGCCAAAGCTGATCAATTTTATTCCCAAATATTACTTAGGAGAGTCATCCGGGGCTGGCTACAGGTAAGGCCCCAATGAAGGGAGTGTTAAATACATGTCTCTGCCCAACCCTATGTAAGAAAATTAGGTGCACTCCAGATGTCAACAGTCATTATGTTTTTTTCAAGAACAATATAGAAGAGGCAATTCAATTCACTGCTTTGAAATGAATTTGAAAATGTCAAATCAATATTTTGTTAGTATAAAATCTTAAGCACGTTTCTTTTCACATACAGAGTATCCCTATAAACTGTAATGTGTCATTACATCAGCTTTTGTTTTTATACTAATTTCTTCTTTCTTGTCCCATAATTGCTCAAGTGGTTTTACTAGAAACCTACGCCCTCAGTCTTATAACTGTTTCTATCCCTCTGATTCCATTTATTATCTTTTAATACCTTACAGAGGATATGGCCTTGGCTGCCACATCATCCTTTCTCCTTATGCCTCCAGTGTCCTTTGTTTCATGTCTGGTTCGATTCTTTCTCTTTTGTACTGTTTATTTGCTTGAATTCTTTGTCTGTGATGTTATTTGTCTCACTTTTTTCCCTGTTCTCATCCCCAGTACATGACTGACCTCGAGGAAGCAGTACAAACACTGTGTGTACATTTTCTTCAGAAGAAGATTTTCAGGGCCTGGTATAACATGGTCAGGGAGGCCAGGCTCGATTCCCAGAACAAGCACAAGGTTGCGGCGGAGCACAGTGACAGGTGAGGTTTTCATGTCTACGAAAATTCACTCAACTGATTTCACAATTGCTCTGCAATAGATTCTATGCCTGGAATGTATCTGAAAAGATAAGGTGGAGGCTAGGAGAGCTGGGCACTCGGAGATATCCGGCAGTGGGGGGAGTCCCAGCTCACCCCCTGACTGCATGGGGTGAAGACAAAAGAGTAACCCCCTTGAACTCCAGGGTCCCCATCTTTAAAATGAGGAAGGGGAGGAGGATGCCTGCCCTCCCTTCCTCACAGGACCGGCAAGAGAATACAGTGAACTGTGCATATAGCTGATTCACTTTGCTGTACAGTAGAAACTAACACCATGTTGTAAAGCAACTATACTCCAATAAAAAATGTTTTTAAAAAGTGAATTTTGAAATACATGAGACACACCTAAACAGAGGTACTGTGTTCTTTGTCATAGTTTTTTAAGTTTAATTTTTTAAAAACATTATTTATTGTGAAATATAACACAAATATAGATGAGTGCTTAAATCCTATAAATACAGCTTAATGAACTATAAAGTGGACACCCCTATTACCACTCCTGAGGTTGAGAAGTAGGACACTGCTGGCCCCCAGAAGTCCCCACGGGCTCCTCCCCAATCACAGGTCCCACCCTTTCCTCCTGAAGGTAAACTACTCTCCTGACCTTTATGATAAGCATTTCCTCGCACTTCTTTTTATTTATACCTCCTAAGTATGCACCCTTCAAGACTTGGAACTTTATATAAGTAGAATCATACTATATGTCATATTAATATTTATAATACAGTGATGACATTTAATTCAGTGTCTTTGGGGAATAAGGTATTCCATATAAGTATGCTTTTTCTTCGTTTTATAACTTTAAGCATTTTGGATAAAAATGTTCTAAATTTCATTATGCCCTTCCCTTGGAGAGTAAACAAACGATCTGTCCTTTTTTGGTGATTTAATGTCATTCCTTAGGAGCACCAGTTAATGTGGTGGGCATAAGCCTCCAGGTTCTGAGGTGTGAAGACTATTGTGAAGGTGTAGAAGTGTCCCTTTTCTCACTATATCAATTCACTTTTGGTTGCTTTGTTTTCATTTGTGTGTATGTGTGTGCGTGTCTGGTTTTTTATAAGTGTTTCTATCTTGTTGCCAGTAGGGTGCCCACCTCCAGCAAAACCTGCTCATCCTTGTTTAATTTACAGGTACTAAAATCTGTGGGCAGAAAAAACATAAGCAAGTTGATTCTAATTTTGTCTAAAATAAATAGGCAGTGAATGAGGGTATTCAGAGGACTTGCCTTTGAAGAAATGCTCGCATTTGAACCTCCCTATTCCTCTTTTATAAAATGAGAATAACTGCAAAACCTGTCTTACAGCGTTGTTGTGAGGACTAAACAAGGTAACACAGGACCTCAGTTAATGTACTGCTTGGCCCAAAATAACAGCTATTGTTTTGTTTATTGTCATTGTTAATGTAGTACTATTAAACACCCTTTTTGTCCGCCTTTGTTTTCTGTTTCTCAGCTGCCAAAAACAGACCGAGAGATTCACTAGGACAGCTGCCTTATGTGACACGGGGCAGTAAGAGGGCTTTCACACATGCCATCTCATCTGATGGATGAGTATAGGCCAGAGGGGAGGGGACAGATGTCAGGATTCTCATTTTCAAGCAAAGAAACTGAAGCTACGCTCAGGTCGATGAACTGCCCAAATAACAAATGGTGGAGCCACTCAGGTCGATGAATTGCCCAAATAACAAGTGGTGGAGCCTGGACTCCAAATCAGGTTTTCTGGCTCCAAATCATCCTCTTCCTGCTAAGTCAGTCTTCTTCCCCATTTTTCTAATTCAATCTCATTTGTAAACTAAAATACAATAGTAAGATAGTGGTCCTATTTAGGGTTTGAAGTTAGTTAGCTAGAAAATCAGTATGTGAATCCATGCATTCAACAAGAAGTAAATTCTCAGCCAGAGTCCACTTGATGTAAGAGCACGGCTGTGACTTCATCTCTCCCCACTCTGCCCCTTGTTCACCATGGTCCAGCCCCACTAGCCTCCCCCAGTGTTCCTCAGACAGACAATGCTCACGTCTGTGTCACAGCTCTCACTTGACCCAGAGCTCACCATTCAGGTTTCCACTCAGATGCATGCCACCTGCCTCCATTCCCGTCTATCCAATAACCTGCCCTATTTTCTTCACAGCACGTAGGACTCTCTGAAATTGTCATTTACTGTTTACATGTTTATCGTTTCTCCCCATCACATCTTGCGCACAACTGTATTCTCAGCATGACAGAGCCTAGTACATGGGTGTATGATAGATATTTGGTACACAAATGGATGCATTTTATGGCAGGAGTGACACTAATGGATCTTTTAAAAGGAACGTTAACACTTAAAAATTGATATTCAGAGTTCTTAATTTTATTTGAACGAAAGAATACTGTATAGAAAAGCTGTGGGTGAGAAACTGCAGTACCACTGAAAAGATGATTCCTAGTAAGACCATGAGGTTTAATTCTGCATATCTGTATCACTTCTAGGTGTATATAATTTGTAATTGGATATAGATTTATAATTTTACAAATCTGGTATTTTTTATATACATGGCGGGACTAAGAGATGTCTCCAGACCTAAGTCTCTCATTGTCAGCAGTCACTGTGTAGTTCTGCAATTAGAGCTCAGCTATGCGCTTGGCCAGTTGTTCTCAGCTGAACTAGTACTTCTTATATATCTGGTATTGCCTTGATACTGTAGTTCTTAACCACTTTGGAATCATAGACCCCTGTGAGGTAGTAATGAAGGTCACAGACCTGCTCTCCAGAAAAATGCACATATGCACATCACATACAACTTCACACAAAATGTCGAGTTGGTGGACCTCAGGTGAATAGATGTAGGTAGGTAGATAGATGTAGATAGGTAGGTAGGTAGGTAGGGAGATAGAGACTATAAATAAGCACCAAACCAGTGATTGTGCCCATGTGCTTTAGGAGTTCAGAGGAAGGAAGATAAATGCAGGCACAAAGACGATCCAGGAAGATTCCCCCGGGGGCAGAGCATTTCAGTCAGGATAGAACAGTAGGAGCTAAAATGTAGAAGTCAGAAAATGGGAGCGTAGCCAGAAGAAAGTTGTGAACAGCACGTGAGAGTTGGAGATAGGGGCAAGGACTGGGAGTGAGTCATATAGCCGAGTACAGGAAGGCATAAATGGTGGACTGGATGGATAAAAGAAGAAAGCAAATCAAGCAGCTCCACTCCTTGAAGCCTTTTTTAACTGAACAGTAATACCTCCACCAACAAAAAAAATCAACATTATCAGAAGCATCAACCAACCATCAGCCATAAAACTAATGGGGACTGAAATGCATTCTAGGGGGGCTTCATTAGAAGGTCATGAAGCCAGAATAAATCCGTCTATGCCTCTACTTGTGAAAATATAAACTTAGCTATTCTTGCCTCTGCCTTTACTTAAGACATGCCCTCTTCTAGGAATGCCTTTTCTTTGCCTAGGAGGGATCAAGATGGCGGAGCAGGAGGACATGGAGCTCACCTCTCCCCACAAGCACATCAAAAATACGTCTACGGGCTTCCCTGGTGGCACAGTGGTTGGGGGTCCGCCTGCCGATGCAGGGGACGCAGGTTCGTGCCCCGGTCTGGGAGGATCCCGCATGCCGTGGAGCGGCTGGGCCCGTGAGCCACGGCCGCTGAGCCTACGCGTCCGGAGCCTGTGCTCCGCAACGGGAGAGGCCAACAGCAGTGAGAGGCCCACGTACCGCCAACACACAAAAAAAAAAAAAAAAAAAAAAAAAAAAAAAAACACTTTTTTTAAAAAATTTTGGCCTGTGAGCCATGGCCGCTGAGCCTGCGCGTCCGGAGCCTGTGCTCCGCAACGGGAGAGGCCACAAAAGTGAGAGGCCCGCGTATCACAAAAAAAAAAAAAAAATCTACATGTGGAACAATTCTCACAGAAAACTATCTAGAAACTGGCAGAAGAACTCTGTACAACCAAAGCTGCAAGAAAGATCTCCACTTAACCGTGTAGGGCAGAAAAAAGGCATCAGATTGGGACCTGTGTCCCTGGGAGGGATCTGAAAGGAGAAGGTCCACATGGGCAGACCCTTACCCTGGGGAGTGAGCAGGCCAAGCCACAGTCTGAGTGTTCAGTCCTGGGGCCCTGAATGGAGGAGACAAGCCCCTTTGGCTGCTGGGAGAACTGCTGGGACAGATAGAAGAGCTGCAGAAGCCTAACTCGACTCACAAGGAGTGCACACAAGTTGGCTTGCAACAAGCCAGGGCAGAGAGAGCCTTGCACTGGTGGCTGCTGCCTCACCAGACTCCCTAACCCAAACGGGGCAAACACCCCTGCTCTGGTCACTCCACACCAGTCTTGTGTGAGATCAGGGTCAACCGGGTTATAGGAAAAGAGTCAGTCTAGCTACACAGAGACAGCCCCTGGGGGGCCTGGGTTGTGATCTAGGTGGGGTGGCAGCAGCCACTGTCAGTGGGCACGCGGGCAGCACCCCAGGAGCAGGCAGTGCTTCATCCCCCAGCTGAGCAAACGCCCCCATCCACACTGCAGTTTGGTGCAGGATCTGGGGCAGACAGGCCCAGGGAGAAGGCCTGACCTAGCTGCTCAGAGACAGCCCTGGGGGACTGGGCTGTGATCCAGGTGGGGCGCCAGCGACCACTGTCAGAGCTCGGTCCAGCAGCACAGGAGCACCCGGCCCCGCCCACTCCATAGCACAGCTCAGTGCTGGGTCTGGGGGAGACTGGTCCTATAAGAAGGCTGCCACAGAGGCAGCCCAGATCTCAGGCGGCAGCACAGCCACCTCAATCCCTGCAGCCACAGTGCCCTGACCCCCAGCCCCAGCCTAGCAAATGCCCCGGCCCCGCCCACTCCACACCACAGCCTTGCACACTGGGACAAACACAGCAGGGGAAGAGATGTGACCCTGGGCTGCGTCTGAGCAGAGCTGGCGTCACCTACTTAGGCGGCACATTGGTGCTCTGTAAG